AGCAGGAAGGAGCCTTTTGTCTCCAGAGCAGCAGGAGGGGAAAGCAGGACCCCTTTGGGGGTGCATCAGGTTGCTCCCTGCTGGGCAAGACCTGCGAGCAGCTGGGGATAGGGACATGGACTCTGAAATGCTGCTCCCACAAGGCCCTGGCAGCAGTGACACAGCGGGGAGCCGCCTCCAGCCTCTCTGAGCCCCAGCCTTCTTCCCTTCTTGCATTACAGGTGGAGGTTTGTTCAGCTCTGGATTAAAAATTAAGAGTGTAAACCAGCAGACCAATGCCACAAAGGGGTCAGGATAGCGTTGGGCTTTGGTGCTGCCACGCTGTTCCCAAGGTAACTCTCCTCTGAAGGCACAAGGATGCAGCAGGCTCTGCATCCCACATCACAAGGCACGAAGAGGAGGAAGAAGCATCCAGGCACAGTGCAAAGCAATAAGCCAGATGCAGGTTAATGGCTGCTGAGGATTTCCATGGGGTCTCTAGCCAAGCTGGCACATCCCATTCCTACTGCCTTCCCCCAGTTACACTAAAACCTGTCACCAGAGCAGAACTTCACCCACAGGAACTGCAGTGGAGGCAGATCCTTCAGCAACACCCTCAGGTGGGCGTGATGGAGTTGCTCATCATTCCATTTCTTGCTCCTTGCAAGGCCGTTCTCCCCAGGCCCCACGTGCCAGCTGCCCACCTGCAGACAGCACGGCTGTGCCCAGGGAGAACTCTGCCCCCGCAGAGCTGATGCACTCCCCCAGCACACGCTCTGACCTGTCAGACAGAGATCCTCTGGGTCACGTCCGCATCGCCTCCTTGTCAGCACAGCTACAGGAGATGGCGGCAATCAGGAGTGAGGAGAAACAAGAGAGATGGTGGTCAAACATAATGTTGGAGAGAGGCGTTAACTCCTCTAAGTTCAAACACTTTTGACTGTAACAGCACCGACACTGGGAATAAAGGAAAACCGAGGTATTTTATTTCATACAGAATCAGTTTCCTAGAAGCGTTAATAGCCCTGTAGAGACTTTGAGAAGCCAAGAAGAGAAGCCTGTAAAGACCACCTTGAGAAGCCAGCAGCCCCACTGGAGAGCAGCAGTAGCTGAGCCGTCAGCAGCGTATCCTGCCTGCGAGGAAGGGGCTGCACACCAGGGTACAGCCCACGCAGAGGGGTGCGATCCTCTCTCCGTTACTCAACACTTGTGAGACTACATCTAGATACTGCAACCAGGCTGGGCCCCCAGAAGTTAGATGTTAGTCCTCTGGGCTGACTCCAGTTGAGGATGTGACAGCTGTCAGAGGCTGGAGCACTGCAAGGAAAGGCTGAGGGAACAGAGTTTATCCACCCCTAGGAAGAGAAGGCTTTGGGGACGCCTAACAGCACACCTTCTCACCTACTCTCAAGACCTATGACAAGGCTACTGCAAAGATGGAGCCAGGCACTTCACTGAGAACATGACAACGATTATGGACTAAAGCCAGGCAGGTTTCCTAGAGGAAAACAAAAAACAAAAAAAAAAACCCCAAACAAAACAAAACAGTTTCACCTTGAGAACTTGAAGCAGTGGAGACGCCAAGAGAGGTGGTGGCATCTGTCCTTGGACATTCCCAGACCAAACTGAAGAAGCCCTGGACAACCAGGCCTGAAGTCAGTGCTAGCCCTGCTCAGAGCAGGCACCGTACCAGAGCCCTCCCACCTGAGGTCCTTTCCCACCTCAGCTAGTGTCTGATAAGACCTGGAGGAGAGCCAGCAATGCAGAGTAGGGCTCCTGCTCTCCTAGCTAGAGGAAGAGATAAGCAGGTGCAAGGACAGAGACAGCTGTCAACACTATGTGCATCTGCACGACAGACTTGTCACCACCCAGCCATGGTGTCAGCCACAAGTGAAGAGGACGTTTCAGCTACAAAACGCACTGTTTCCTTCAGTTCAGTCTCTGCTCTGCTGCCTAACAGCATCACTGTACAGTGAAAGGCAGATACTGGGAAGAGGGATGGCCATCTTCCAGGCCTGGCCAGGGCAGAGTGAGGCCCAGAGCCAGACAACAGCATGTCTGTCCAGCAGTCACAAGTCCTTCTGTGAGGGCAGACGGCGCTTGTCTTTGATGGCATTCCTCTTCCTTTTCTTGTTCAGGAAGCTCTCCAGCTTTCCACTCCTCTTCAGCTCTGCATACTTCTCGGCTAGCTCCAGTTTCCGCTTCTCGGCTGTAGAGGAGAGGGGAGCAAGGTTTTAAAACGGAGCCCGAATCATCTCTACAGACCAGCCCCTTCTCACCTCTCCCTCCCTGGCTCCATGCCTGGCTTGTCCCTTGAGTACCAGTGCTAAAACAATCCCATCACAGCTCTGTGGAATATTACAGACAACTCCCTCCCAGTGCTTGGAGTCCTGTCAGCAGTACTCCCTCTAGGTCTTCCTGCAGCATGTTCACACTAGGTACTTACATTTCTTTAGGAAGAAGGGCTTCTTTCCCTGCTTGGCCAATTCCCTCTGTTGTCTCTTCAAAGACAGTTCCCTCTCCCTCATTTTCTGCTGTTTTATCTGTGCCTGTTCCTGCTGTGTCTGTACAGAAAGGATGGCCTACGTCAGCAAGTGTCTAGGCAGACCTCGGGTCACACATCCTCTCTCCTAGTCCATTGCCTCACAGGAGAGGAGATGCTGCACTGAACTCACCATGCGGTTCAGGAGCTGCTGGAGTTTCTCCTTCTGCTCCACGTTCCGGCATTTTTTCAGCTGCTTCTGAATCATCTGAAGAAGAGAGCAGAAAGCTGCATGACTGCCTGCCTGCTGCCTTCACTGCGAAAAGCCTTTGCAGAAGCTGCCCCTGCCAAGCAAGGTTCTTCCGGCCAAGGACAGGCAACACAGCATCACCTCCTTCTCCTGCTTCTTGATGCTGTCAAGGAAGCTGTACGTCTTCATAAATATTTCAGGCTTATACTCTCCAGACAGGTCATCAAATCGCGGGTCTCTGTGGACCTGAAAGCAGGGAAAGCAAAAGTAAGACCTTTGGGGCCAGGATTACCTCGTTAATAGCCTGCTTACTCTCCCTTCCACGGATCATGCCTTGCTTGTTTTTACTAGCAATATTATGCATCTACCATTAAAAACATCTGCAGCCGGCAAAGACTGAGTCCAATGAGACCACAGCTTGCACTGCAATTGTCATTGGTGGCAGCCATTACATCTTCTAGAAACACTCGGGTCTCAAACGTTCGAGTTACTCCTCAAGTTGTGCATTATGCGGGGCAGCAGGTTATACAGAGAGCAGCCGCTCCGGCACCCAATCTCTCGTTCTCCCCAGAGACACGCTAGCACTACCCGGGCTCACCAGACAGTGTCCCAAGCCCTATCCTTGGGAAAGAGCCTGTGTCACCTTCAGCAGCCCCAATACCATGTCCGTGCCCGATCAGCATCACTAAGGGAAGTCAGGTCCTGAACTGGGGAAGGGGAGCACCCACCTTCTTTGTAACAGAGACTACTTGTCTCAGAAAAGGTACAGGCTTCTTGGCAGACATCTCCAATGGCCTGAAAAAGAAAAATGTACGTAAGAGCAGCAGAGGACAGAACGAGGGCCAGGCTAATTTGTCAGGAGGTTAGCCAGACCCTCAGGAGAACATCACTGCACAGTGCCAAAATGGGAGACTCTCCCACTCAATCCTCACCATGATACCTACAGAGAGCAAAAAGGTGGTCAAGAGCCAGACAAGGCTACTACAACCAAACAATCTATAAAAGCATGCTTAAAACAATCCTACGCAAAACTTGATACAGCCCCACTGTATCAAGTGAAAATCCACCACCCGCATCAGTAAATGCGCTGTACTCAAGTATTCCTCTCCCCCTCCATGTTTTCATTCATCATGCAACAACCCTCTTCTATTCCTGGTCACCAACTCATCCACTCCTGACTAATACTTACACTGAAAGGTGAGACCAAAGTTGGGAATTTTTGCATGGAGCTGGCAATTACAAAGACAGGCCAATTCTACCGTGGCCAGGCTCAATGAGAAAGCATACCGTAACGCAAGTAACAAAAAGGTTAACCCCCAGGAATAATCCCAAAACAGACTTCAGAGAGAATCAGGACCATGAGGACTACGGTGACAACCAACTAAGTGAACAAGTTCTCCTTGCAACACAGGCCTTTAGAGCTTGATGCTTTAGGTGTACGAGGGGGACAGTATAAGGTGGGAGAACTCTCCCCATATTACTTTGATGCTGTGTCCTGCAATTTCTCAGTACATCAGGTAAGGTATTAGAAACATGAAAAGACCTGTGAACCACCCACTGGGAGTACCCACAATGTGGGCATTATACCCCCATTCAGCAACACAATAACACCAAGGCAGGAACATAAACAATACCACAGGCATAAGTAAGTTTTCCAAATCCCACTTAGGGCAGTGTTCAGTGTGTTTTCATGTCTGCTGATGTGGCTAGGCCCCTGGACAATACTCCCAATTCAGCTTTATACAGCATTGCTGAAGCCAGCTCAGTTCCAGGGGATTTCCCTGAAGTCCTGCTTTTAAGGAGCTCACTTCCATAACAAAAACATGAGAGAAACAGCATGTGGGATTTACAGTGATGCATCACTTAAAGGATTAAGGGAATTAAATAAAAACGGACTTATGCAAACTGTATGGCAGAAATAGAGACACTATGTGAAGACGTTGCACTACACACAGTCCCCCAGACTCTTGGGTAAAAGGTAAAGTGATAACATTATTCTAATCAACTGTTTACGGCAGAATAATCATGTCTGCAGCAGAGATTCAGAAATAGGTTAGGGATGCCAGCGTAACAGAGAAAACCTGTTCAAATCACTTAGATACGACTCTGAGGACTGAAAACCAGGTAACTACTGCAAATAAAGGGTAATGGTATAATAGTTGTTACCAGTGGGGGCCTGTGGAGGACTGTAAAAAGATCTGGTATTTTTTGTTGTGTTGAATACATTTTATAGTCACCATATCAATACAACCTACAAAGTATGCAAATAGGAGATGTAAAGACCGCCGAGGACAGGAAAAAGTCTGTGACGATAAGTACTGTAGAGGGGGAAAAGGAAAACCAACACAGACAAGGAGAGATGAGAAAACAGCAGAAGGATGAATGAAATTCCAGAAAAATTGGCTGTCACTGCAACTCCAGGCAGCAGGAGCCAGGCAGAAGATGCTGATAAGCCAGCAGGGGTTTAGAAAACAAGAGGGTAACTATTTCAGGGCCCAGGGGACATAAGTAAAGTACTATCATTCAGCTTAAGAGAAGCATACCATGCCGTGGGTTAAAAGTGCCTTAATACCGAGAGTGTAAAGCAATTGAGTGCTGATTTAACTGTCAAGTAATAGGTGGCTGCTGGGGATTTGAACAGGATAGGATATTAAAAGCTCTGAAACAGCAACAGACCATTCCCAAATGAGACACTATAGTGAAAGGCATTACTGTGTAGCACATAAAAGGAGATCTACACCAGCTCCAAGGTAACAGCAACACTGTGAGGAGCTCCTAGTATAACTTCTGGAGTGCAGAGAGCACACATGCACATTTTTCTGATCACAAAAGAACCTCTTTACCCCTTTTTGCCTTGTTGCTTCACCGTGGCTTTGGTAGGTTTTGCATTTTTCTTCCCAGTGGTCACCTGCTTGTGCACTCTCGTTCTCGTATCACTCTGCACCCGCAGTAGTTCCTCAAAAGACATGTCAGATTGATCTGGAAGAGAGCGCATGACACACCTGAACCAAACAGATTCTCAAGGCACATCCCACCCCCAAATTCCACCAAGAGGGATGTCTCAGAGCCTGAGACAGTGACACAAGCATAGTGGTGCCATCCCTATACAACTGCATGGCAGAAGGAAGTCACTGTATCTCTCGGTCTTTGATTTCTCTCACATTAACCACTGCAGTCTTTAGCACTAGAATAGTCTCCCCCTCTCCCCAACCTGTTTTGGCTTCTCTCTCAGTAGCACACACAAGACCAATTCAAAGTTTTTACCTGGTACAAAGAGTGGTATGAACTCTGCACTAGGCTGTATTTTGGCCACACTGCAAATTCTGAGGGGTCACCTCTCAGTCCCGACTCTTTCACATTAACAGACTGTTCTTGTCCCATCACCTTTAAACCATCACATCCCTCACATCATGAGACCAGCCAGAAGGTGCAGGAAAACCACGTGGCCTGTTCAGTCTGTCTGTTAAGACTCAGAGACCGTCTCTCCCCACTGCACATCTGCCATTGCTCTGCTCAGTCTGCAACAAAGTGATTCCCACGGCAGAGCCTCCTCAGCACCCCAGAGACCTGTAAACTAACCGAAATCCAGACATTCTTCACCATTTCGCTACCAATAGGAATAGCTTATAGCCTGATTCACTGGGGGAAGAACAAAACCCCATGACACCAAGAAGCAGTTTCATATTCTAGCCCTGCCGTGAGCTCCCCACACTGTTATTTATACCTTGCATTTCATAAAATATTCCTTCCCTCTGCCGACTGCTGACTAGAAGACCAACACAAACTACACAAGAAACAGCAAAATCAATTTTACCCAAAGTGCTGATGAATGCACAGGATATTATTCTGGAATTTTCTGTTGCTATGTTTCTTTAATATCCCTCAGTGACAGTAATCTTTAACACTTCTTATAACCACAACGTAAAAATATTATCGATTCCTACTGGATACACACCTCTGGGTGTTCCAGACTAGCAATCAGGAAAGATGTCTTAAGGCAGCACTTGGATACGCTCATTCCGTTCTCTGGATGATGGTAGGGGCAAGCAGGAACGGGAGGGTTTGCACTGGCTCCCTTCTGAAGGAGAAAGTCTTGGCAAACACCATCTGGGTGGCGTTTGCCTGCTCAACACCTCTGAGCAGTGACAGGCACATGGTCTTTCTAAGCCTTTGCAATACAACGCATTTGGCACAAAACAGCCCAACTGTGGCCTAGCAAAAAACAACCACATCCTGCCTGTGGAGGGTTGACCCTGGCTGGACGCCAGGTGCCCACCAAAGCTGCTCTATCACTTACTTCCTCAGCTGGACAGGGGAGAGAGAATATAACAAGAGGCTCGTGGGTCAAGATAAGGACAGGGAGAGAGCACTCACCAATTACTGTCATGGGCAAAACAGGCTCAACTTGGGAAAAAAATAATTTATTACCAAATAAATCACAGTAAGGTAATGAGAAATAAAAAACAAATCTTAAATGTCTTCCTCCCCCACCCCTTCCTTCTTCCTGGGCTCAACTTCACTCAGGATTTCTTTATCTCCTGTCCCGCTAGCAGCAGAGAGGGACAGGGAATGGGGGTTGTGGTCAGTTCACCACATGTTGTCTCTGCCACTCACTCTCTTCCCCTGCTCCAGCGTGGGGTCCCTCCCACAGGAGACAGTCCTTCACAAACTTCTCCAGCGTGGGGTCCTTCTCACAGGCTGCAGTTCTTCAAGAAGTGCTTCAGCATGTGTCCCTTCCACAGGGTGCAGTCCTTCAGGAACAGACTTGCTCCAGCATGGGTCTCCTGCGGGGTCTCAACTCCTGCCAGCAAATCTGTTCCAGTGTGGGCTCCTCTCTCCATGGAGCCACAGGTCCTGCCAGGAGCCTGCTCCAGGGGCATATCCACCTGCTTCAGCGTGGGGTTCTCCATGGCCCGCAGGGGGACAGCCTGCTTCACCATGGTCTTGACCAGGGGCTGCAGGGGAATCTCTGCTCCGGCACCTGGAGCATGTCCTCCCCCTCCTTTTTTACTGACCTCGGTATCTGCAGAGTTCTTTCTCTCACATATTCTCACTCCTCTCTTCTGGCCGCTGTTCTGCAGCAGTTTTTTTTCACCCCTTCTTAAATATGTTATCACAGAGGTGCTACCACCGTTGCTGATAGAGCCCCTGGCCAAGGCTGAGCTAATGGCATGTGAAGGAAGCTTCTGGCATCTTCTCACAGAAGCAACCCTTGTAGCCTCCCCTGCTACCAAAACCTTGCCACGCAAACCCAGTATGCTCCCCCGTGACACAAGGTTTCTGGATGCTCTGCCCAAATCTGCTGCCAAATTCAGGAAGCGACATGAGGTCAGTCACATTGGCTCAGAGCACGGACTCATCATCCCAGTCACTCTCATCTTGGCAATAACCAAGACTTTCTGCTTGGTTGATGCTCACATCATCCAGAAAACGTAACGAGCATATCCAAGCACTGCCACAAGAAACGTTTTCTTTTTGCTTGTTCTGAACACCCAGGAACTCTGCTCTGTCAACACTCATTAGTTCTCTGAGGAGCATTAAGGGAACACCATATATCCAGTTTGCTGCACAAGGGACAAAGCAAATGTGAATACAGCACTATTTCATTACACCGCTTCCCCAAAACACCCTTCCCACTTGTCTTACTGCAGTTTGATATCCTCTTTTGCGAGGGCTCCCACAAACACCCTTGTCCCCTGTCTTCTCAGGGATGACAGCACTGTCACCCTTTCTGATCTCCCTTGGGTTCTCCATCTTTCCCCGTGTCACTCTTGTGCAATCACTTAGTACCTGCCTGCCCAGAGCGTGAAATCACCTTCAGACCAAAGAACTGTGCTCGCATTCAGGTAAGAGCTGAGTAGCTCAGCAACTTAAAGTAATCACACTGTTGGGGTTCACAAGGACTTAAGAAAACCAATCAATTCTAGGACTTAGACAAGAGCATCTGCCACCACGCTGTTCCAAGTCAGTGCAGATAGCTTCAGACTGCTGCACTACAGGAAAAGTTTATGGTAATTATACAAGCTACTGGGCTATAAAGCAATTAATCACTATATAGGGCAATATTTGAGTGTCACGGGATACTCAAAGCATAACCGGACAGACAAACAAAAGACTCTGAGCAAGGACAGTCAAAAGGCCTTAAAGAAGACTAAGAACAATGTGGAAGCCACTCTGACATTTCATGAAGACAGACAAGACACCGTCGCTTACACTACAATACTTCGTTTGGCTGCAATTCCAAACCAATACTGTTAAAATTGACTTACAAGATGTCAATGAAAACAACATAAAGACACCATATAAAAAGAAGCAGCATTTAGCAAAGGATTAGAAGAGACCTGCTGTAAATCTGACAAACAGAAGGCGTGCAGAGCTTCCAATGATAAAATATTTCAATACCAGTATGAGATACGAGACCAGAGTTGACTACCCAAAGCCTAAGGGAGAAAATGCTTCCAGTGGAGTAGTATCAGTCCATGAAATACATCCCACTACCTATTTGTAGGAGACTGAATTAGTCACGCACATTGATAAAAACATCATTTGACAACAGCATAAAAAAAAAGAAGCCTGTTTTGAGGCAGAAATGAATGGTCCCAGCAGGTGTCCACTGCCAGGCAGTAGATTTGGCAACAGTGTGTGTGAAAAGGTCACTGGTTTCCTGCTGCGGAGCAGCCGGTCCTATCCACAGCCTCTGCTGAAGGAAGGTTCATGATCCTTAATATCTGTGCTAATGGAGTCTCCACCAAAAGACCTATTAAAAGCCAGGATTATCTTACTTTCCTTGTTTCTTGGATACTTTCTCGACGCTTTAATTTCCCAATTTTTCTTTCATTCCTTTTCCCCACCTAGAATATAATTTACCTTTTCTATACTGTCTCTACACTCCACTGCATCTTCCCTCCTGCCATTTTTTTTCCCTTCCTCCATTGTTTTGTAGATCGTTTCCTCTTCTTCCCACCTCTTGCTAGGCTACTCTCAGCTCCCGGGCAGCGCCCTCCGGGGAAAGGTGGCGGTCCCCAGCCCGGGGCCTTGCCCTTACCTCTCCCACCAGCCCCCGCCGCCGAGGGGCTCCCGCTGTCGTCGCTGTCGCTGCTGTCGCCAGAGCTGTCGCCGCTGTCGGCCGAGGTGTCGCCCGAGCTTT